ATCCATATGTTACATCAGTATGATGCTCTGGGGAACAAACCGGCCGGACAATGCTTCTAGATGATTGAAAGAATCTTGCATATAGCTATATCCGAGAGTCAATGAAGTCATGATGCTCTTGGCCCACTCATACAGACCTTGTTAATTGTAGCTCCAGAGCTATATATTTGCAAAGTGAATAAATCATGGGTGGACTTTCTGATGTCATAGCGTTCCCCGACGAGTGTGGTCAAAATGATGGACTTTGAAAGACCCCACCCCCGCATGTGATATACTAGAATATTGACAAAGGTGAAAGTGATTTGTTTAAATAGTGATAGCCACGTAAAGAAAAAAAAAAAAAAAAAAAAAAAGATAGACATAGCATGTCCTGGTTTCGATCCAGGGTCCTATTGTGATTGTTAGTTGAATGTTTTAAGGTGAAATTGGTTGCGGTGAAACGTACCTCCGGGTTATGAGCCCGGCGCTCTTCCCCTGAGCTAACATGCTGATTGGTTGAAATTGCATGTTTTTTCTTAAACATATAGGAACATTGAAGCCATATCTAGAAAGAAGTATGTATTTTACTATCAACCAACCTTTGCACACATCCTCTAATTCTCCAACACTTATTACTCATGTACAAAGAAAGTCTAAAAAGAGCACACGAAATATGGCATTAAGAATCACATCAATTGCGACAAGTGTCAGTTTGGAAGATAAGCCTCAACTTCAATCTCTAAATGGAGACCTGGCTAGACCTGGCACTGCACCTCGGGTAACCCTACCGACCCTGCACCTGCACCTCCATTTGGGCGGTGTAGGTTCAAAGATTCCGACCCTCAGGTGCGGTAGGTTGAGCACCGCACCTCATGAGGGTAACCCTGAGGTGCCCCTGAGGTGCGAAAACTATGACTAATATGCTAGAAACGTGACTTGGGGGTAATTGCATAAATTATGTAGAATTGGGCTGTATTCTTTTGTAATTGTAAGCTAAAGATTTATTACTGTATAGCCTTACAAGAGGATTGAGTGCATATCATAGGTCATAGTTTCATGTTTGAATAGGGCTTCAATTCTCACATTTGCAGTGATAATATCTATTATACAGTATGTTCTCAAGAGTTAAACTATTAAGTTATATACCCATCCAGTAGTCTCGATTTCTTCCGCATCCTACCTGATACACGATGCTGTGTATCAGGTAGGTCAGGCGACACGGAGACCCTGCCCTTATCTATCTCCGGAAGTTCATCGCCTTCAGATTCCTCCTCATCACCAGAAAAGACCATAGGGCGCTTCCCGGCAGCAACTGCTAAGAGTGGTGGTATATCATGATGTACCTCAACATCTTCCTCATCATCACTGATAGCGTCGAAGGAGTGTGTCTGGATGTCAAGTGCTTCAGCTGAAGCTGCCATTTCATGATCCATAAGATACTCTTGCAGAATTAGCCGCTGCTCCTCCTTCAAGTCAAATCTTGTTGTACACATATACAACATGATATCGCGAATAGTCTCTGGGTTTAATGAACCCCGGCGGTAGTGGCATATATCCCGGGCAGAGTTAAAAAGACGTTCAACTCCAGCACCAGTCGCTGGAATTGACATGATATCACGGGCAATGCGGGCAAGAATAGGGAACTCTCTTTGATGATTCTTCCAGAAGAGTCTAGCTGAACCATCGATAGTATCTAAGAATATTAGTTTTATGATCATATAGACTTAGTGCTAACTTACCACTCTGGAGATATTTAGTGAGCTCGTCATATTGCGGACCAGTTGATCCCTTTGAAAGATCACGCCCACATGCCCTCTCAAGCTCTGACTCGGTTGTCATTAAATGGCTATCAGACTGAACCATATCTGATGGTACATGTTGGCGATACCTCTCTAAAAGTGACTGGAGACTCTCACGGTATTCCTTTCTGTAGTCCTTTCCAGTCTCTGGATCTGGGTCCCAATCACTTGTTGAAAAGAATTGCATTTTGTTCGACGGTGCTAGGATTGTCCCAATTGCGTAGAGATCACCCTCAATACTATCAGTCATACCATAGTATTTGATCAATTTCTCTTTTGCAGCTTCAAGGGAAGAGAGCATCATTTGTTTCCAGTGAACCTTCTTCCGCTGAAGTTGAGATATTGACCTTTCAAGATGATCAAAGAGCTTGTTGTAGATCCTGAAGACAAGGTGGATACTCGAGTCTTTGGTACGACATACCAATGTGGTGAATGTAAAAAAAGGCTGGAGGATACAAAGTAGATAGTCAATCTGTCGCCACCCCTCTGAATTTAATGCGAAATAGGGTTGATTGAAGTCCGCACAGTACGAATTGTACGTAGTATAAAGTCTTCTTGCCCGCCGGAGCATTAGGAACGTCGAGTTCCATCGTGTACGAACATCCTGGATTGGGAGGAGCTGTGACTGAGTATTGGACTGGAGGTTTAAGAAGTTTTCTTTGCGTTGAGGGCTCCCGTTGATAAAAACTGCAAGACCTCGGACCTATAAGTAATAGTTAGTATTATTCACAGTTCATAAATAGAAGCATACCTTGTTTAATGTATCAGCGATCTCATGCTTCTGTTGGCGCGAGCGGAGTTGACGTAACCGATCGTCAGGTAATTCTGACTCAGCATTATCATTCCTCGGCGAAGCCTTGATCTTACCAAGTAAATCAAGTAGACTCAGTTGAATGACATGGGCAAGACAAGGCACTTGAACAATTGTCGAATCTATCTCCGGGTCTGACTGTAGATCCTTGATTGACTCATTCACCGCTGTGATAAGTGTCTTATTATTAGACGCATTATCAGTTGTCACCGCTAGTATACGGTGAATGATCTGGTGCTGTTGTAGAATTCGAATAACAACTTCACCAAGGTTAACGCCAGAATGAGTACCAGAAATTGGCTCAAAGCCAAGGAGTACCTCACGATACTCCCATTCCTGGTCTAAAAAGTATCCTGTGATAGCCATGAAGGCATGTTTAAATGGCGAAGTCCAACAGTCAAGGGCAATCGACATCTTTGCACTGGGTGGGAGCTGTTGTAGAGTCTTTTGTTGAGACTCTTTGACGAACTCTCGGAGACGCTCACGAATAACCTTTCTTGATGGGATGCTTGGTAGTGTAGGTGCTAGTTGGGCGTAAGAGATAAGGTCGTGGAATTCTTGATGCTCGACAAAGAGGAAGGGTAAATGTGATACAGTGATCAGATTAAGTAGCTTCTGCTCCCATATTTGCTGTGTAAAGGTAGGTACTGGTCTTCTCTCAGCCTGAAATATAGTTAATTAAGGATTCGTCTTAATATTCAACAAGAAATATAGGTAAACATACTGCGTCACTAAGTAGCTGGTGGACACTACTAGTTCCCTGGAGTGCCTGCTTCGGTACTCGTTGTCTACATCTTGGACCATCAAGGTGCTTCTGCATTGTTGATGTCCCTGTATGATTCGTAGCTGGATGCGCGAGAACTGTGCGACAACGTTTGCACATAACGCCTGGCTTTCCATCTTTGGTGTTTGCAACTTGTTGGAACCCTTTCCAGCAATCTGCACGACGTTTGGTAGGACTTATATCCCAATTGAGATTTTGCTTCGACCTACCATAGCCAGTCTTAAGCCACCAATCCACGAACTCCTTTGTCATTTCTGGTGTACAGATAATGAACTCGTTGATACGGTCAGGCTTAATTCGCGCAAGGGTGTCTGGAGCGAGTGGTGAAATGTGTGACTGAGGGCTAAGAAGGTCTGGAACTGATCCAAACTGGCTTTCGGATTGGTATTGGCTCCGGCTCTGGCTCTGGCTCTGGCTTTCGCGTTGGGAGAGGGAGTCTTCGGGGAGGAGGAAGTGTAACGCGTCATATGGCACCCCGTCTTGACTATCGAAGTGAGACGATGGGTAGATGTCTGAGAGCTGAGACATAGTAGGTTCAGTTAGCTAGATACTAGAGAAGAAGAAGATAAAAAACGTACTGATTGCTTTACATGAAAAGATACATGATCTTCTTGGGGCCTCTGTTTGACCCTGTTCAAGATGCTAGAATTGATCTATCATCTTGAGTATCTATAAGTAGATCCTATTGGCTAGTTCAGTGGGTAATTTGTATAGTAACCCTACCGCACCTCAGTGCACCTCACCGCACCTGAGGGGTAAACCTAATTAAACCTCATCGCACCTCGGTACACCTCGCTACACCTCAGGGGTAAACCTGAATAAACCTCACTGCACCTCAAAGTAACCCTCAGGTTGAGAAAATATTATAATCAGAACAGCTAAGTCTAACAACTGGGAAGTTTGAACTCAATTCATGATGTATCTGTGTTAGATATTCTTAATTCTCTAAGACAACATGATAGAAGAAGATTTGACGGTTACAATGATATCAAAATAAGGTGATTTTGACAACATCTTGAAGTTCTTTACACAAAACTGTAGTTATGCCTTTGAAGATACATAAGGTAAACAGCATACTCGATATATATATCTGCAACTTTACATGCTGTTTTGTCAATAACCCTTATTGACCACTTCCAACGTCGAATTTCTTTGTATTTATTTAGAGTTTATAGGTAACAATACCTACTGTTTACTTTTACATAAGTATTTGTTCATAAATCCTTATGTTGATAGAGTATTCACTGATATGGCTTCAGGCTGACGGAACAGGTGTAAAAAACAGAGATGAATCATCCATTTTATCCAGCCAAAAGGGGTAAGGTGTCAGAAATTTATGCATATGCGGGTTGATGAGGGTAACCCTGCACCGAACCTGTCGACCCTCAGGTGCGGGTCAGGTGCGAAGGTCCGCACCTGAACCTCCTGAGGTGCAGGTGCAGGTGCGGAGGTACTGCACCTGTGGGCGGTGTAATGCCAGGTCTAGACCTGGCATCACGAGAGAGGCCACATTCACACCAGTCCACGCCGGGCGTGTCTGCTTCAAGTACTTCTGAGCTGCTTTCTTAACACCGTTCTGAAGCCCCTCTATTGCGACTTCGTAGGTATTAATCTATTGAGAAATGGATCAGTTGCGTATTTCTAACGTAACTTCACATTCAGTATGCCAAACCTTGTAGACGTATTCCCACGCATTGTCTCCAACGCCAGCAGCCTTCAGGGCACGCTCAACATGTTCAAAGGCGATATCCGCTTCCTCCACTGGGTCTGTGGGGATGGAACCGTCATCTCGAATTCCGAGTTGACCTCCGATCAATATGCGGCGAGCATTTGCCGGAACGATCACAGCATGGGAGAGACCGAAATGCTCCGCAGCCTGCTCACCAGCTCCTGGCCAGTTATGAAACTTCAAGCCGTAGCTAGTAAGCTTGGAGCCGGTATATTCGGAACCGTAATTTTGCGGCATTTTGGAATATACTTAAGAACGTTCAACAGGTAAGTCAATGAAAGAAACTGAAATAATCCCCAATATTGAAATATATCAGAATTATATAGCATGAGCAGATACAAGCACAGATCGGATAAACAGGCAATTCGATATCGAATCGCCGTTGTTTACCAAACAAGGATTAAAAGCTGATTGGCCCGTTAGTTCCATTAACATTGAACTACTCCCCACGGGGTATACTACCTAACTCTACTTAGGAAATGTCCCTAATAAATAGATAACTTTTCTCTCAAAGGTTGCTGCATGCAGAGAGCACGTCTGCATGTGTTCAATTTGGTATTTGGTCGCTGACATCCTCGAGGCTAATTCGACATTCTGAGTGATAGTTTTGTGTTGAGGGTTGTTCTATGCCCAAGAAGGCAAGGTGGAGGCCTCTAATTCTGCAGATGATAAGATTTTATATCCAAAAATAATCTAACAACATTCGAACCAATAAAATGTGGAATCGTACGTAAACCAAGTCTGAACCATTGAAAGAACTTGACTCCAAGGCATAGGGTATGCGTAGAGCACGGAATGGGCCTCTAAAACTCGACTGTGAGATATTCCGAGGGGTAATGTTAGGTAAAGTTGCCATCTTATCTTTTACAAGGATAAATCTAATTATTATCCCTCCCCAGACTGCCTGGATATGTCCTTTGACTTCACTAACACGCTCTCGGGCAATTCTACAACGTCGCAGGCTCCTAACCATTGTCTAGCAGCTAGTCAACTGTACACTAGTCACATAGGAAATCCCAGAGTACATGTCTCGTTAGTATCGGCACATTCGCCGCACACCCATCATTCGAAGCACCCGACCCTCAAGCCACATTACAAATACCATTGTTTCTGTCAAGCCGATGCGGACAACCTCTACACTAAAACAGCTGAACCATCGACTGACACCCCAGTCGACTATTTTCTTCCTCCAAACCAGTTGTGGAATGATCGATGAGGTCAACAACCCCCTCTTCTCTCATCCCACCGAACGCCCGAATTATGTGGTCGGCGTCATCTCGCATGGTGTAAATCTTTGCAAGTCATTTGACATCAAACATACCGGTTCTGTGGCGAAATCGCATGGTCCAGTCCCCGAATAGACGCAAAAAGCGACCGATATAAGTCCGTCCAACTATTTGCTTAATCGAACCCCGTTGTCACCCCATCTGCATGCCACTGCAACACTCTGAAGTGCTTCTAATCCAGTTCGAGACGCTCGCCACTAATTCATTCTACAAACTATTATGCGTCCCGAACGCGCCGAAAATGGCATTATGTTCATACTGCACGAGACACGTGGTGTGATCTCGTCAGAGATTTCGATTACAGCACGTCTCGAATCCCAGCAGCCAATTGGCAATTGATAAATTCCAGGCTACATCAAGTGCAGTCATTGAGAAGGTCTTCCACACTATTTGCTCTATGGTGCAGGATTTGTGAGCTGGTCGAAAAACTGAAGCGAGGGGGAAAGACGGGGAAATAGAACCTTATTGCTCCCCCTCAATACGGATATTGTGGAAAGGGTCCAAGTCATAAAATTAAATGCTTTTGCAATATGATAGGTATACCCCATACGCAGTATAGAGAGATTGTTTGGCCGTATGATCCATGCAAAGATGGGGGCAAGTTACTCCGTACATTGAATTTGGATTATGACGAGACACACTGCATAATGATAACTCGCCTTATGCGAGGCACGAGACACGTAGCATAACGTGAGAAAGAGACCGACTACCCGAGCACCGACAATATGGCCGGATCGGCCGGTTGACAACTAAGCCAGTGGAGACAAAATGAATTTTATTGCAATTGCGTTTTCGTCTCCCCCATGGGACACATATCAGAATCTAAGGAGAAACGGGATTAGCGGACTCGGAGGCTTCGGGGAGACTTGGGGTGGAATAGGAACCCGTTGGGGAAGGTCAGGAAGCGCTGGTCCAGGCACAGGATATTATTGGAAATGATCGTATAAATGGATACGAAAGCCCGAAGATCACCCAGCCAATCATATCCTCGGCATCAACTTAGTGGCAAATCTCGGGCATTCTTCTGCAATCGGCCTCACCGGGAAGAATCTTGGGAAGAGGAACAGGTCCCGAGTGGGTCACCCCGAAGCTTAATAAATGGTAAGTGCATGGTTATAACCTCACTAACAAGTTGATTTACGACTTAAATGTATGCTGTAGCACTTGAAAATGAGTTTTTGTATAAGAATTGGGGGTTCCTGGACTCTCACGCTTTCTCCCTTCACTCGGGTACATCGGCCGAGTGAAAAACGGCATGCCGACTGTATCATGCTGATGTGGGGCCGTTGACCAATCATATCAAGTCGGCTCGGGAGGTTATTCGGACCATCGTCGGCGATATATTGAAAAGTTAAACCACGGCATTTGTCCGAAACATGAATCCCCTGGTTCCGACACCGTCTGTAAAAATCTATACGCGGTCAAAGCGTGCAAAGCGTGCCCCAGAGGCTGGAGCTCGAGAATGCACAAAGGAGAAAAGGATACCACAAACGAGAACTGGAGAAAATATCTGTTATAGCATTTCTCTCAGTGATCCAGACAGTAGTTACATCCAACAAAGGCAAGCAGAAAAAGGCTCAGGCACGAGGAGTTTCCATGGATCCGTAGTTATCGTCGTACCCACTACTTACTTAGTGGTCCAACTCATTCATTGATCAGCAGACTCTTTCTCGGCTCGGTGCTCCCATCATAATCCATCATTGCCTGGAATTACCCTTCCCCACCCCTCCGTATAATCCCGCAGCCCCGGTTCTCACCAAATTCTGGAGTCCGGAGCATGACGTATAACAGGCAGATTTTGAGCGTGAACGCTTAAATATTATTATAGAAAGGCACCCAACCCCCGTTTTATTCATTCTCCCCTGAATCGACATTTCCTCCCTTCACCTTCCACACTATACACAACATGAAGGCCAACAAGAATCCTCAGCCCGTATCGGCTTCCCATAATGAGAATGTTCCCTCACCTGATAGTACCCCATCCCACGACACACACACGACAAAGGGTCTAATTGTCGGAGGAAAACACCGAGACGAACTTTCAGAAGAGCAAACCCACCACTATGACAGCAGCTTATTGCAAGAGGTCGACGTCGATCTTCCCCTTACAGCCACCAAGCCTGTGCAGCACAATGGTCAAGAATTCATCGTACTTGACTTCGTTGATGGAGACAAGGAGAACCCCTTCAACTGGGGTTCAGGCCGGAAGGCCTTCATCAGCACTCAGCTTTGCCTGATGACACTTTTCATCGGTCTCGCCACGACAGCATACAGTTCCGGAATTGGAGGCATGGCAAAGGATCTCGGTACAACAGAGTTAATTGGCAAGCTTGGTCTATTCACCTTCAACTTTACTTGTGCAATTGCTCCACTTTTCCTCGCTCCTTTCTGTGAGTTGGCCGGCCGCCGGGTCATCTATATCGGTGCCTATGTCTGCTTCTGTCTTATGTTCATCGGTCTCGCTCTGGGCAAGAACATTGCCACTATCCTAGTCTGCCGTGCTCTGCTCGGTCTGTTTGGTTGTGTCGGCACCATTCTTGTCGGTGGTACTTTCGGAGATATGTACACACCTGAGCACCGTGCCATCCCTATGGCTTGTTTCTCCTTCATCGCTATCCTTGGTACAGTCGGTGCACCCATCTATGCCGGCTTCATCGATCAAGCTCTCGGCTGGCGCTGGCTCGAGGGTATCCAGGGTTTGGCCAACATTCCCCTTGGTATCGTCATCATCATTTGTCTCCCTGAAACTCGTGGCAGTGTTTGTCTTGCCAAGCGCGCGAAGGCAATTCGCAAGGCTACCGGCGATGAGCGTTTCGTTACCCACAACGATATCGAAGCCCCTGGAATTAAACACATGTTGCACAACTCCTCTGTCAAGGCCGTCAAGATGCTATTCAGCGAGCCTGTCGTTTTTGCCTTCGGTCTGTGGATCAGTTTCGCCTGGTTCCTGACCTTCCTCTTCCTTTCCGTGATCCCCATCACCTTCCAGGAGAAGCGTGGCTGGAACGAGGGTGTCTCTGGTCTTCCTTACATCTCCCTCTGCCTCGGAACCACCATCGGATTTGGTCTCAACTTCCTTCAAATTCGCAAGTACAAGTCCCTCTCCTCCGACCCGAACGTTCAGGTCGCACCCGAAGCTCGTTTGTATGGTGCCCTGTGCGGAGCCGTCTGGCTGCCCGTCGGATTGTTCATTTACAGCTTCACCCAGTATAAGGGTCTCCACTGGATGGGCCCCATCATCGGACTTGCCCTCATCACTATTGGTATCTTCTTCATCTTCGAGTCGTGCTACAGTTACACGGCCGATTGTTACGGAGAACACTCTTCCTCTGCCATTGCCGGTCAGGGTTTCATGCGTAACACACTCGGTGCTGTGTCGCCGCTGTTTGCTTCACAGTTCTTCCACAACATGGGTAGTCAGTACGCTGGATTGTTGTTGGCATTGGTGGCGACTGTTTTGACGTTCATTCCGTTCATTCTGTTCAAGTTTGGTCCTGCACTGCGTGCTCGCTCCAGACTTGCCTCTGCCACTGTGAACGGCACTGATTGAATGTTTTGATGTTTTCGTGAAATTTGCATATTAAGACGCATGGAATTATAAAATTCCCATTGTATATAAGAGAATTGTTTGAGGCCTCCAATAATTTTGGTGAAAAAAATGAAAGCCTTTATTATGAGTTATGGACAACGCTTTGAAGAAGGCCTGAATTGCTGTAGAATTTCTCGATTAGTGTGTAGATGTGATTAGTGCAAGACAGCGACACCCTTCTGTACCCGTAGCTCTTCGTATTTCACGCCATTCCTGGCCAATTTCTGCAACAATTCAGCGGAATTATCGGTCCGTTTTTGTTTCTTATCGGTATCCGAGGTAGAGAAACTAGAAAATACGAACGCTACAGGGTGACAGGGGAGGGAACTTAATATAGAGAACGACTACCAACACACTGTTTT